AGACTCCTTAGCCACTTGGGTAACCTCCTTTAGATTTATTTAAGACCAAAATCTCAAATATCAGAGTAGAGCTGTGTTTCCACCGGGATAGCTCTCTCCGTTGACCGGATTAAGTTTCGAGGGTTTGGTTTGCCTTCCTTAGCTAGCTAGTTGAGAGGGTTAGGTTTCCTAGCCCATCGTTGTCACCCTTAGCCGAAAGGTTAAATGAGTTAGCTTTCTAACTTGTTGCAACAATTCTCAATTAGCTAACTAATAGAATTAGGGATCTCCTTGGTGATTGGTAAAGAGGGTAAGGCTCTCTAGCGATGAATCACAATCCTTCACCTAACGGTTAAGAGAGTTAGTTTGTCCCTAGCTAGTTGCACCCACCTCGCGGTGTATGAACACGCCTTTCACACTAGAGCTTTGTTTGTCGCTTCTTAGCATGAGACTAGGGGCAGCAATACCCGGGTGAAGCTCTCTCAAGTAGAATTCTCCTCATTTTACTTTCCTTGCTTGTTTTCATTTGTAGTTTTCATAGTTATAAACTCAAAACTGTTTTGCTGGATAACAACTTAAGCGATTGAAGTAGGGGTACATGGACCGGCCCAGGTTTGACAATTAAATACTTGCTCTATACTGCACCCGGCTAGATTTGACAATTAAATATTTGTGGTGTAGTTCCGAGCGAGTCAAAAAACTTTTCGGAGTCATCACAAAATAGAAAGAAGTAAAGAGTGTTGGTCAACAAGTTGTAGCTACCAATAAAAATACTTATATTGCCACAATATAAGCAACCCCATTATACATATGCGAGACGCGAAATGAAACGAAACTAGATGCAGAGGAGCCAAGCACATGGCCTTCCTTTAGTACGCTAACTAGTGAGTTGGATAACAACCAATTTTTCTATCAGGAGCTTCGGATGCTGGGTTTGTCCATTGTCAATATCTTGTTGGATTCTCTTCAAAGTTCAATCTAGCTACTTTCCTTTTCTGAAAAGGTTGATTGAACGTACATCATTAATTCTTGTTGTACGTGCTTTTGCGCATGTACACCACATTTAAATTTAATTCGAACATCAACATGTTATTACTGTCTTTGTTCAATTGCTCTCCTTTCTTAGAGAGTTGAGAATTACACACCAATAGTACTGCATGCTTTTTAAAGAAGTCGATGGAGACCCAGTTGGAGAATCACTTGAGCCAACTTGGCTTCCCCATAATATCCTTGATATGATATCGATCTCTTTTGCTAATAGAATATGTATATAATTAGAATTAATTAGCATTATTGTACATGGTTCCATGCAATAATAATATGAATGAGTGAACAGTTGTCCTTTATGCTAAAAGGAAGAAGATGCCTAATTCCCATTTGTACGTAATTGCCTCCTCGATCTCTTGGTTGATAACTTTCATAATTAGGCGGTCGGTCCATAATTAAATTGGCCAATTCGCACCTAACCCAAAAGATCTCTCCATTGGTGGTGTGTTTAATTTACAATTACATGGCATATATGTTTTCTTTTTGTTAAAAATTTACAATACATATAAGTGTAGCTAATAGCTAAACTACTGTCTTCTATAAAAAAAAAATAATAGCTAAACTACTATCCAATTCGGTAAACCATACTGTATTGACTTGGTCATCAACGACTTTAATCAAAATTGGATCAAACATTTCCGGTATATTCGAAGACCAAAATGATTACTTTAATTTCCCCTAGTACGTCCAGAGATTGATAAAAAAATTCAACCAAACGACTCACATGCATTTGCCTCTTCTCCAGTGAAAAATTAGTTCCACTCAATTTCTCTCCTCTTCCCCATGACATCCCTTCCCTAGTTCCGCTCGTTGTTCTAGTCTAAGAGGAAGTTTTTTTTTTAAGTAGCATCGTCGTGGAGTCTGTTGATCTCGAGTAGACTAGGGGTAGAGAAGAGTTTAGGGAGACTGAGGAAACGACCAGACTCGAAAATATAAGGTTGGGGTCTAGAGCAGTGGGGAGATGCACAGTGAGAGATAATTTGGGGGGGGGGGGGTGTCTGTGTGGGGTGGGGGGGGGGGGGGGGGGTTCTAGTGTTTCTCAGAGATCGGGTGCGTCGGATTGCAAGTCGCGGGAAGTTGGGTATAGGGTTGTTGGGCTGGGTGGTGGGTGGGTTGGCCATATGGTGGCAATAATTTGCTCTGATATGGTTTTTCAGTTTAAAATCAGACCGGGTCGAAATGATTTTTTAACATCACCCACAACCAAAAACACGTTCGATTGTATTGCAACAAGATCGATTTATACGATCCGGTTTCCAATTTAACTGAAAAATCAGAAACCCAATCCCACCCCTAGTACAAACTAGAGATAAAGAGGAAGAGTCAGGCGTGAACAAAAGGGAAAGTAAACGAGAAAGCCAAGAAAAGAACAGTGAAGAGGAAGTGATGCCCTCATGGTCGAAGCTAGGGGTTAGGGGGATATTTCTCCACAGCCATCCGTTGGCATTGCAGATTTTATAATAAAGCAAAACTTACTTTTGAGTCCAACCAACCAACAAACAAACAAGCAAAATTCCTTCGACTACAGCTACGAACCACTCCACATGCGCTCCTCGCTGAATGAAACAGGAGACCTGTCCTGTCTCTTGTAATTGCGCCTTTGCTTTATTGAATTCTCCCCTCTTCCTCCACCTCCTCCTTGCAGCAGCAGCTGGATTCTTTTCCAAAACCCACAGACTACCATTCGCGCCCCGCGTTTGTGCATATCATATCATAATAATAACAACAATAAGACAGCCAGCTGGCTGCAGGCCACAACTAAGCGCGCTCCTTTGGCGTTATCCTTAGCTAGGGCTAGCTTTCTGATATAGATGCTGATATATTGAGTTAAGATTGTAAACTCATATTGGAGATTATTATTGAAAAAGTTAGTGGTATGATATTTTTGATATAAATTAGTTGGTCTTAATAATTTGAGTTTTGAGCGATCTTATACCACATACTAACATATCCTACTCAAACGAAGTCACTCATACGGGACTTGGAAATTTGCACAGAACCGGAAAATCACGTGTTTAACGAATGGGGCCACTAGAATTCAGACAAAGTACCTCTCAATCACTGAAGGCTCTGATAGCACGGTCATAAATCAGTTGGTCCAATAACTCGAGTTGTTAAGCGAAATCTAATTATGGATCTTATACCACATACTAACACGCCCTCTCAAACGAAAGTGACTCATATATTGGTTTGAAGTTTGTGCAGGCCAGAAATACCATGTGTTTAACAAATGTGGTCCCACGATTCGAACAAAATACCTCTCAGTGACTAGGGGTGGCTATTTGGACCGGGACCGGATTAAAAATCGGAAACCGGACCGAGACTGGACCGGGACCGGATAGTAAACAATCCAATCCAATCTTTGGGCTTAGGGGTCGTTTGCTTCAAGGATTTGGTATATGGATTTGGTACCAAAAAACCAACTATCAAGGATTTAGGTACAATCCGTTGTTTGCTTGCACCTTTTTTGGAGACCAAATCCGTGGAGCCCACGAATTTTAATGGTCCAAATTCGTGGACCCCACGGACTTATAAATCCCACATGTTGATGTGGGATTTGGAATATGGCATAAATCCTTGATGAGATTTTACCCATATACCCTCATGCACTTTTAATATTCCAAGGTTGCTCTCAAATTTAACTATTATACATTATAATTAACAATAAATGAATAATATAAATGTTCAATTAAGGTGCAAACATGGGTTAGATTTTTTTATATCATTTCTTGTGTTCTAGTTTTCTTTGACCTTTTCATGGAACGTGTAATTCTTTGTTCTCCCGATTCTAATATATGTTGTTATATGTCACTTTTGAAAAGGAGGACAAAGAATTGGTAATTGATTATGTTACGTTAAAAGTTAAAACGGAATTTTCTCGTTTATTATTATTGTCCATGTGGCAACATTATGCTTATTAGTATGTATTGTCCATGTTTTGTGTACATATCATAAACATGTCAAACATATAGAAAATGATAGTAAGGTAATTTTGAAGTTTTGTCCTTGTTTTGTGTACATATCATAAACATGTCAAACGTATAGAAAAGGGCAGTAATGTAATTTTTGAATTCAAGTAGTAAATCCCACACCTTTAAATCCATAATAAAAACATCCCAACAAACAAAGGATTGTTACAAATCCATGATGCCTCAAATCCTTGATAAATCCTTGGGTTTTTAAATTACAAAACCCTCATTTTTAAATCCATGAAGCAAACGACCCCTTAGATTTGAGGTAAAAAACCGGATAAAAACCGAATAAGAGAGCTCAACACCCAAAACTTAAGGGTAATTTGCATAAACAGTCACAAACCTTTGCACTTAGTACAAAACTTAACCAACTCCTCACCCTTTAAGGCCTTAGGCCACTCAAATCCCTCAATCTCAATGTAAAATCAAGACCGAATTGGGACCGGACCGGATCAAAACCGGACCGGATCAAGACCAGACTGTATCCAATCCAATCTTCGGTCCTTATATTTTCAAAAAGACCGGACTGGACCGGATCAATTTGGGCCAATTTAACCGGACCGGACCGTATAGCCACCCCTATCAGTGACAGAAGTCTCTGATACCATGTTATGAATAAGTTGGTTTAATAACTCAGAGTTGTTGGAAGAAGGTTAATTATGGATCTTATATCACATACATAACAATTGTGTGCTAAACTCGTAGTTCAACCATTTCATACAACTAAAACATCTACTCGTTTATAGTTCAGTAGGACATTTTTCTGATCGGTCTGTAAATACGATACAGTACCGTATCTCAAACGCTCATTGAGGTTAGAGTTGATTTCGGCATCCCAAAAACATTGTAGGGTTGGGTAGGTAGCTATGTTGGTAGTAGGTCCCCCTTCTTTCAGGAACAGTGTACGTATTGTACTGTACATACATGCATGTAATAAAGTAGCTAGCAAGTTGCAAGGTGGTAGGCAGTATAAATAGAAGAAGAAGCCCGACTCTCTCTATCTCCAGCAGACCATCCTCACCTATACCTTTCTCAAGTAACAATACCCACACAAAAAAATACTCACACACAGGAAAAAAAAATCCCCACACAGATCCAGTGAGTGAGTCGATAATGGGAGGGAAGGCGAAGTCCAAGTCCGGTGGTTCGTTCTGGAGCAACCTGTTCAGAGGCGGCCGCCGGTCATCCTCGTACGGTGACTACGGCGCCGCGGAGGAGTACGGAGGCGGCGGGAGGAGGGTGTGGGCCAGCGACGAGGACAAAGCAGGGAAATGGGTGGCGGACCCTCGCATCGACACCAAGGCTTCTGCCTTCATCGCACACTTCCACGCTTCACGGATCTCCGAATCCGAGCACATGATCTTCCTCCGCCACTCCGCCGCCAACCCTCCTCCTCCTTCCTAATATATTTTCCTTCCTTCCATCCGCCGTCGCCGATGATCAGTTTTCCACCTACACTTGCATGCCATGCTTATCCCTCCGTCAACATGCAAACACACAGACAATAAAAGCCATATAGTGGTACTATTACCTAATAGTCTTCTATTGTTTCTCGATCTCCACTCTTCTTCGATCCATTGTTTCAGATTAATTTAGTTTAAGCATCCTCCAATGTGTTGATTAGATTCTTCATCGTAATTGTACCTAGTTTAATTGGCAGCAGCAGCTGCTGTTTGTGAATATATATTTATATAATCCTTTCCTTTTTTCCTATGTGTATTTTCATATATGTCTTTTGGGTTTATGGTGGTTCAATAGTGCTGTGAGCATGATCACTGTGTTACCCTTGAAAGGGAATTTCTTGGAAGATTATGGATAATATGATTCATGAACTGTGAGGAGGGATTTTGATAATGCCATCTTTTCTATTATGAAAAAGCGGTCTGTCCCTGGCCCCTTATACCAGAGACAAACAGGATGGAACCCATCAAAAGATTTCATCTTCGAACATTTTTCCATGAATTCAGAAATCAAAGACTAGCTAGAGAGATTCATCGAGTAATTAAAGCATGATAGGGTAAGATCATATTATTGGATTAGGGAGACTTGACATTTACATAGTCCTCTTCATCTCTACTTGAACATGTAGAGATTAGATTGGGCGAGAAGGTAATAACCATATGAAAATAGAAAACCCATTCTTCACTTTGATATAAGCAATCGAATTCACAAATGTGAAGAAGCTGTATATCCACTTTCACCCATGAAGACATGCAGGCTTTTGTCACAGTTTTTAGAGTTGGTTTCATTTTGTGTTACTTGTAGTGTGTTGTTTCTTTGTGCAGTTCTTTCGCTTTATTCTTCCACATTTTGTAGCTAAGTTTTGTTTCAAACTCAGGTGGTGGCTGTAATATCTCGACTCGTTGGTTAAGGTTCAATTCGAAAATAAACCCGAAAGAGTTAAAGTAAAGGGTTTGGGTATGAGAACTTGTAATAGTCGGAGTCAGAACTGGATCTTCTCAGCGAGTTAACCGATCAAAGGAATGGAATGGAGATCTCAATTGAAGAATCAGAAGGAGAAATTATAGGAGAAGGAAGATAGATTGAGAAGAAGAGGGAGAACAGAAGCAGGAGAAGAAGAAGAAGAAGAAGGGAGAAGACAGAGCAGAGGAGAAGAAGCAGAGATAGGGAAATTCTTATTCTATTATTCCATAACTATTCATTACAGCATACCCTTTCTTTTATATGTCTTCCTAATTACAAACTAGTCCCCAAACTATTTCTTGTTTACCTTTTGATCTCATTCGTTACAATCCTCACTCCTTGAGAACATCCTTGTCCTCAAGGATGAAAATCAAAAAGAAAACATAACAGTCCAAAACAACTAACTAACTGTGCGAAATCAACAGAATGGATTGCAACCACCAACCCAACAGGGGTAGAGGACGGAAAGGAGTTCCATCAGAACCTTCATCAACCGAACATCACCAACCTTCAATACAACTCCAATACAGACCTTGAACACCCAACCAAAAAATAAATGTTGTTGGCTGCCATTTTCCATGTCAAATGCTTGTGATTTTGTCCCACACAGAATAGAAAGAGTTTCAATCAATGTCCATCGAAAGTTGTTGCACTGATGCCCCCATGTTTCCTTTCGCCGCACCAAATGCTCTATATCTTGAATAGAAACTACCAGAACTCCAACTTGAACAAGCACATACCACACTACAGTCACCTGGTCACCCATCTCCTTGATTTCAAGATCCTTTTAAGGTTCTTTGAAGTTGGGACAAGCAGACCATCTTGTAAACTTCACTCGTGGCCACCAATACCCATGATGTTCCCACCAAGCCCAATCCATGTCACAAAAAATCACCATGAAACCAAGGCTTCCAAATACAACACAATCACAGCAGATACTCAAACAATTTAACCCATAGGCAACCCCAATTAGCACATCACTAATTCTGCCCGCCAAAGCACTGTCTTTGTAGGGCTCCTAGAAGTTTGGAGAAGCAACCTTTGTTTTAAACTTCACCCTACGCCACGAATGCCCATGATCTTTCTGAAAAGTATAATTCCATTCAACAAGAAACAATTCCTCTCTGTAATTCAGAAAACCAAACATAGCTACCCAAGCTCCCTTGTATGGCTCTTTGAAATCAAGACAACTACCCCTGCCACAAGAAATAACACAAACGCCATAGTAAGTTGGATAAATCTTATACCCAACGTCGCCGCTGCCACACCACAGTTCCTTGTTGCGATGACCAATATGCTCCAATTTCTCAACAACTATTATAAACGCCAACTTGTAGCCTATAGCTTCTCTTTTAGAATCATCTACCCTTGTTTGGAACATTTGTGCTTCTGCTTGTTGGATGCTCACTATGCCTTCCAGCTTATCAAAAGCTGACTCCTTCAACACACTTCGTAACTGTAACTCAGAAGTCTCTATTAGGAGCCTCTTGCACGATGTATCTGCAGTACAATCTTGGGCAAGGTTCTAATCCAAAGCAAACATGTCTGGGGACTGAGCAAAAACAACATAGTGGAACTGCATCTCGGTAGTTTCCCCTAACGCTTTCCCAATTGTTTGGCTCCAACTCACTTCAAAATTTGGACTCTGAATCTCCGCAGCTGAGCTGGTAGCCACAACCCCTTGAGTCAGTTGTGAATGATCCATTTCCATAGCCTGTGCAGCATACACAACCTCTTCATCATTGAGTTCATTCCCCTCCGAGTTTGGTTTCTTCAGGGTCGATACTGATTCGAAGCAAACCGCGTTACTAAAAGTCGCTGCAATTTTTCCAGTCTCCATTGGATCCAAAACGCCAAGGTATGGAGCTGTGTTCTTGTGCTCACCATTCTCATCATCTCTCCCCATTTCTGTTACAGCTAAACAACCACCCAAAACATCGTCATTGCTATCGCTAGCTAACGAATCTTCTGAATCTGATCCCTGAAATTCAGGAACTGACCCATTTCTTAAGCTCTCAAGCCTACCAGACCCAAATTGCATTAAAGAAACAGGAGAAGATATTGAGACTAGGGAACTCGACGAAACAGGAAGCAAGGAGTTAGAGCTCCCGTCGCAAGTATCAGCGGTTTGTCTAGTTGCTGCCATAGAAGTAGAACGATCAAAACGTCTACCTAAGGCTACCACGAATTTGTCCAAAGTCGGGTCAAGCCGACGGAAAATCCAACCCTCGAACCAAACTTTCGGCCAGATTCCAAATTTGGTTGCTTCAATGGCTACTTTCCTATGCTCCGGAGTGTCATTCATTACAACCCATCCTTCCCACTTACTAACCCAATCCCTAAGATTTTCTCCCGAGAAGAAAGGGATACCTTAGTCAACGTCCACTTCGGCATATCGTCGAACAGTTGGAGGTCGAATTTCTGGAATTGGCAGTAGGGCACTCAGATCGACGTCGCTCTCCGCCAATAGTGAAGGCGCTGGGTTGCCGAGGAGATCACCGTAGGTATTGGATGGAGAAAGCGTATCGAGATACGTCTGGCAGATGCGGAGTTGGTCGACGTAAGTCCGAGAAAGAGGCGATTCCCGTAGCTGTCCGTCGAATCTGCTGCACGAGATCATGCATCGCAAAAACGCCACTTATGAAGCCGCGAGAGATGCTCGAAGCGTCGGTGCAGTCGTCGGATTAGCAATGACGGCTAAGCGGTCTTCTATCGTCCGCATCGACGGAACCATGGTTGTCATTGTGCCAAGAAGAGGCTCTGATACCAATTCGTAATAGTCGGAATCGGAACTGGATCTTCTCAGCGAGTTAATCGATCAAAGGAATGGAATGGAGATCTCAATTGAAGAATCAGAAGGAGAAATTATAGGAGAAGGAAGATAGATTGAGAAGAAGAGGGAGAACAGAAGCAGTAGAAGAAGAAGAAGGGAGAAGACAGAGCAGAGATATGGAAATTCTTATTCTATTATTCCATAACTATCCATTACAGCATACCCTTTCTTTTATGTCTTCCTAATTACAAACTAGTCCCCAAACTATTCTTGTTTACCTTTTGATCCCATTTGTTACAGAACTCTAACCTGATGCATGTGGATAGCATCATGATCAATAAAGAATCTAATTTGAAAATTAAACTTTTTGAAAACCTTGATATCCGCTGTGAAAAATATATGTTCACCAAAATAGGCGAAAACATTTCGCATAACATCTAGGTTCTTATTAACTTAACAATCGAGAAATCAAAGGATTGTTCCTCATGATTATTTTGCTGCATCAATCACCAAGTTATCTAACAAAGATCTCATAATAATACATGTCAAAAACACTAAAATGTAAATGAGAAATCTCCGAAAATATACCATAAACACAGAAACCAAAGAATAGATAAAAAATCTAAAGAAATCTTTGTAAGAAAAAAGAAGATAGCATAATGATAAATTAAGGGCAATGTCTATTTTTTATCCAAATCTTTTTCGGATTTTTTTTATTAGCCAAACTAATAAAAATACTAAGAATTAACCAAATATTAACTTTCAGTTAACAATTTTGTTAGTAATATTGACTTGGCAACATGATACTGATTTGGAAGAGACACATGATGGTCAACATTACAAAATTTTAGTATTATAACTAAGAAAAGAGTTACAAAATTACTAACGATAATGTAAAAATGGCTAATATTTTGATTCATTACGAAAGATTTGGATAATTAATAACATTTTAATAGGTTTGGATAAAATAAAAGAATCTAAAAAAGATTTGGATACAAAATAGACATTACCCTAAATTTTGATGAGATTAAATAATTTCATCTTCATAAACTCAGTTCATACCACTGTTAATAGGATTTTCAATTTCCGAAATATAGACTAAACATAATTCATTTCCAGCCCACTTTTCATTCAAAATTCAAATTGAAATGGTAAATGAAAGTGTTGTTTGGAAGTTGTTGTTGTTCAAATTGATGTATTGAGTCAATTAGTGTATTATCATTTAATGTATCAAATCAATTGATGTATTAAGAAAATATCTAATTTGGAGGTTTAGATTGTCGTTTGTTGTAAAGCCATAAAAGTCAATTTTGAGTGATTGTGAAGAATTTCAACAAAAACTAGAGATTGATAATGCATCAATTATGACTGATTGTGGTGGGGTTAATGCATATATTCTAGTTCAATATAAGTATAAAAAAAGACTTAGGGCTCGTTTGCTTGTTGATTTTGAAAATGAGATTTTTTAGTTTTCATCGAATAAAGAATTAGACAAATTAACCATTGAGTATGTGACCTACCCAAAGATAATTTTCATTCTTCTATTTCTCCATTTACGAATCATTCTCCTTCTTCCTCATCATCGAATCATCCCTCTTCCAAGTTACCTTCCGGATATGGAATACACCATGAGACAAGTACGAAGAAAACCCATGCCATCGATGAAATACCCATCATCGAAAATTCTCATAATTCCATAGACCGGAACCGGTTTCTTGTAAAGAGCGGTTTGAGCCATCATACCGGAAAATATTCTTTACGATTGTTGGGACTTTTAGGGACGAGGGTATACGTATGATAGCCCGAGACCGGGTGACTAGGATTATGATAGAGTCGTGAACTACGTTCACTTTCAGTAAAGAATATTTCTACCCTCAACAAGACTAGGGTTACAGGAAATTTCTTCGTAGGATAAAACTATCACCACTTTAGGTTCCAGGCTTAAGTACCTAAAGCATGCTTAGATGTTAAGTAGGCAGAAGAATCGTTTTTTTTTTCTTGTCTAACATAAACTACTTAGACAAAACCACACCATCAAACCACTAGACAAATCCATATTTGTCTAGCACTTCGTAAACATCGAATGTAGAATGTTGTGATTTTAGTGCATTCGATGAATATACTAAAATGAGGGAGGAATGTTGGAAATTTGGTTGAATCGGACCGGTTTTGGATTGAACCAACCAACCGGTTCGGGATTAAATCAACCAAATAAGATGAATCAAATTCATGGAGACATGAAAATTTGTGATGCAAAGTTTAAGTCCTTTTGAACTTTAATCATCACGTGGTGCATGGAAATTGGCAGTTAGTGGCCAAACAATGCAACCATTCCATATATTTGAATTTGAAAGCCACCAAGCAAAGCTTTGCCATGCATGAATACAAATAGTGATGGTGGTTAAATTAATGATAATAGCAAAGGTCACAACCTTTGGCATAATGCCAACGTTTTATGCATAGGCACGTTCCTGATAATGCCACCTTGTGGCATAATGCAACTACCTCGTAATTGAAAGGTCACGACCTTTCAAAGTAACCCTTCATCCCTTATAAATGGAGTGGTTCGGGTATGGGATGAGGGCACACCAAACTTGATTCTCTTCTTCCTATGTAACTTCTAAGTATGCTTTAGGTTCTTGAGTCTGGAATCTAAAGTGGTGATAGTTTTATCCTACGAAATAATTTCCTGTAACCCAAGGTTTTGTAGAGGGTGGAAATATTCTTTACGATTGTTGGGACTTTTAGGGGCGAGGGTACATGTACGATAGCCCGAGACCGAGTGACCAGGATTATGATAGAGTCGTGAACTACGTTCACTTTCCGTAAAGAATATTTCCACCCTCAACAAACCTAGGATTACAGGAAATTTCTTCGTAGGATAAAACTATCATCACTTTAGGTTCCAGACTTAAGTACCTAAAGCAAACTTAGAAGTTCAGTAGGAAGAAGAATCGATTTTGGTGTGTACCCTTTTCCCATCCTACTACCTCTATTTATAGAGGCCAAATGGGGATGATGCTTCAAACCGAAGCAGTGCCTTGTTCAAAAATAAAACATTGCAACTGATGGTCAAAGTAATGGATAAAGGAGCAAACTGTCGTTATCCATGCCAACCATTATCCATACGTACCCCAAGGCCATGATCCATGGAACGATGCCTTTCTTCAATTGAATTGGTCCAAAAAGCATGCATGTAACGCTGCTTTAATTCATTCAAAAATGAAAGCCATGGCATCATGTGGGAAAGTTAATGGGAGGTGGTTAATTCCATGTGGAAATTGGCTAGTTTAAAATTAATGGACTAAGTCCACTAATTTAAACAATTCTTATTTTCCAACAATCCTCCCCCATTTTAGTGTATTCAAGGAATTCACTAAAATTACAACATTCTTCCAACAAAACGTAGGCATCAATGAAAATGTCGTGTCGATTGAATTTTCACCTTAGTATATTACACTTGACAAATATTCGAATACAAAGGGTGTCGGTAACGATTGAACCCATTGACTCATACGAATATTCGAAGATAATATACACTTAAGTTTTCAAAACTTCTAAGCGCCTTGACACTATTACCCGCCATGTGTCCAATCCTTCTCATAAGCGCACACGAAACCAAAGTCTGGGTTTCTTGAAGCGGCTGCACTTCATGCTAACGTAGGTTGAATCTCTTATTCGTGTACCCGCATAACCCACTTTTTCAAAGATTCAATTAAGAAGTTTTGAACTTCATTTTCTTCTCTCATGCAGGATAACAAGCACATACCTCCGGATGACAAATCGTGTGCTTCAATTTCTAATAATAAGCTTTCCACATTGAATTCAGCCCTAACGTTGTATTAGAGGGGAATTGGGTGTCCCATTACCAGAAATTATATGGAATTTAACCCATCCCTTTCACAGACTTGATCACCAAGTCACTAGTTAACCACTTCGTCAAATGATCAACCAAATTATTTTGAGTCTGGTCATACTGTTTAGACACAACTCTATGAATGATCAGTTCACAGATTTTACCGTGCCTTACTCCCACATGACCGTACTTGTCATTTTCACTTGACTATATTCCTTAGCCAAATTAGCATTACTATCACAAAAGATAGTAATATGTGAGATTGGTTTAGGCAATAAATATATGTCATAAACCAAACCTCTCAACAATTATGTCTCTTCTCTAAGAGAAATCAAAGCCACACAAACGTTGATTCCATAGTGAAACTTAGTGATGCAAGTTTGCTCTCTAGAGGCCCAAATTATGGCACCTCTCCCAAGCAAAGAGGACCCATCTCAATGTTGAAGTATCACCTTTAACATGAGAAATCCAATTAACATCAACAAATCCTTTCTAAAATTGATGGAAAGCCACTATAAGTCAATACAGTGTGCCTTTGACATATCCTAGTACACGCCTCATTTCATTTCAAACGATGAGAACTAGGATTCATCACGTACCAACTTGATTGTTCTATCGCATATGCGATATCTAGCATCATGTAAGTCATGCATACATCTCCAGTTGTAAAACTGATTTCCAGTATTTACCATAAGTTCCATACTTGGATCCATTGGGGTCTTTAACTCACTACAATTCCTACTATGGAATTTATGCAAGTACCTTCTCATGCAGAAAAATTGAGAGAAGGAATCTTCTTTGTCGTTCCGCTTGATGCAATACACAGAATCACATTTGCCTACCCCATGTCCTACATGGAGAATTGAAATAACAACTTATTATCAAAATTCACTTATCTTTTATTGGTTCCAAAGGTAAGCATGTCTTATACATACAAATGTACGATGACTTCATTACCAGAATCATCATAAATTGGGTATACATTTTGTCT